AGAGGCAGAGAGAGAGAGTGATAGGCTTGCCTATGAAGCCTTACACTTCCCTGGGGTTGGAGAGATTACTCCGCAGCTAAGAGCATTGACTGCTCTTCCAGAGAACAACAGTTCAATTCCCAGTACCCACATGACAACTCACAACCATGTGTAACTTGAGTTCCGGGTATCTGATACCCCCTTCTAGCCTCCAAAAGCACCACACACACACAATTCACAGACGTACATGCAGGTGAAACACCCATACACACAAATAAAGTAGAATACTCTTCTCCCTTATTTTCCCCAGTATGTCCAAATGTTCATCAATTTCTGTTCAAGGAATGACCCTAGATTCTGAGAGTGGGGTTGATCAGTAAGTACAGCCAATCGTTCCCAAATGGGTGTCCAGCCCCACCTGTTACGTCACTCTCAGTCCAGAGGTCACAGGCAGCACAGCAGTATAAAGAGTGGTACCCTAGGCATCAGAAAAGCGAGTTTTAGTCCTGACCTTGTGACGAGATCCCTGATCCCACAGCCAGTTTCCTTACCTTCTCTGGGTCTGGGTTTAAGGATGGTTCCCAGAAAGCCAGTGGGTTTGATTGCTATACTGACTAGCAGAACCACTGCCGTGTTAGCAGGGCGTCTTCCACAATGGATTAACCATGTCTGTAGTGGTGCAGCTCAGTAGCCCCGCCACCCCAAAATGATATCACCCCTGCAACCCCTTCCAGTGCTCAGGGTCTATGATTCTGTAACAACCTTCCTTTTCTTACAGGCTGGCTGGCGTGAGGAGACTACAGTTCCTGAAAGAAAATCAAAAGCTTATGAACATGCTGTATCCAAGGCTTCCAACTCCTTCGTGCTCCAAACTGACCCGCCACCACCGCCTCTAAACAGCTGCTAACAAAACCAGCTTTTCTGTGAAGGCAACAAGCCTAGCTAATCCTCTGGTCTAGTAGAAAACCAGAAGCCCTGGGGAGTGGGGTTTGTGGGCCTGGCTTTACACACTGCTTTTATAAAGGCTCGGAAAGCTATGAAAACACAGACCTATTTTATTTTCCCCTTATAACTGGTATACTTTGGAAATGGTGTTCCATCCTTCTTTATTTACCCAGAACTAGAAAGCGGGGACCAGTAAATCAGCAGCTTAATTACCCAGGAGGAAAATGGTCTTGGGAAAGAGAACATGTATCTTTTTAGCTTAACGTGGAAAGCCGCACTCAGCCCGTTCCTAGCCAGCCCCCCCCCCCCGCCCCTCCTCCTCCTCTCCTGAGGCACGGATGGCCCACCCTCTGGATTCGCCCTCACAGCCATGCAGGAGAGTGTTCCCAGCAGCACCGGGGTGCCAACGGCTTGAGCACTTCCTGCTTCTCCTAATATTTTACAATCATGTTTAGCTTCCTCAATGCCCTCCCAGCAGGCAATAAAGCTTCTGCAATCACATCTAATTATTCTCCACTCTGGTACCGAAGATGAAAGTAAAACACAGAGAGGAAGGACACCTCTTTCTGTGAACTGCCTTCACGTGGACAAACGGGCTGAGTCCCAGGCGCAGTACCGGGGAGGGGTGTGTGTGTGTGCAGATTAACACCTGTGCCCAGCCTGCCATCGACTCATTGTGCAAGCGTTTTGGAAGCGGGGACAGGAATGTGACCTCTCTTTTTTTCCTGGGAAGGCAGCACCTTTATTGTCTTTTGCCGGCCAGTCTGTGCCCAGGGCTTCTGACATCACTGGGCACAGATCCTTTCACCTGGGTCTTTGATGTGCCTTCCGGCCTTTCTTCTCAGGCCTGCCTCTGTTGCATTTATTAAGCTGCTGGCCTCTGCCTTCACTCACTGTGGACTACGAGGGCAAGGGGCACTCAGCTCTGTTGAGCTATTAGTCTGCTGGAAGCCAGGCTGAGCACGTCAGTCACACCACAGCTTCCTGATCCCCAGGCCCCAGATGCCTGTCTGGGGGACTAGGCCCTGGTTTCCTGCTGCTGTTAGAACAGCAACACCTTCAATGTGGTGTTCAGCTCTGTTAGTCTCAGCTCAGCGTGGCCACAGCTTTATTGGTATACACCCACGAAGGTAGCAGGCCTTAGCAACCCGGCACTGTGGTTTCCTCAGCTGCTATGAGAAGTATAAAGCAGGGGTCACGGTGTGGCATGTGAAAGAGCAATTATCACTGGCAATTCTCCAGCCACCATCAACCACAGACTCCGAACCAAAGGAGGGAGTCACTGGGTTCAGGGAAATCTAGATGGATAGGCCAGCTCTACCCAGGGAACAGCAATCACAACACTCCACACCTCACCCGGTATGTGTGCAGAATGCCTAGTCCCAAAGCACTCACTTCTGCTCCCTTGCTGCGACATCAGGATGGTCTTCTGAAGTTCTTGGGAAAAGATCACATCCTCATGTTTCAAGTGGAACAAAACATTTGCCCTGCCAGCCCCACCCCAGCAAAAAAAGGTTTGTACTTTGTCAAAAGTCATTCAGTGAGGCAGAGATATTGCTAGGAATGGAACCAAGGTCTCAAGACTGTCAGCCCAAAGTTGCTGTCCCATGAGCTCACTACATCACCAAAATGAGGACAATGTGTCGATCTAAATGTCACTACATTGAGCTTCAGGACTGCCTCTTGTCAGCAACAAATGAGACAACTCTGACCCACCAAGCTAGGAAAAACTCCTAGCACATCACAGGATTATAAATTTCTTCCACCAAAATGAACCTCCAAAAATTTTAAATTACTATTTTAGTTAGTATACAAATAGCGGGTTTGATTATAAGATTTTCCTACAGGTATGTCATTATCTTGTTCAGATTCACCACCACCCCCTTATTCATGCCCACCCCCTCCCACCAGCCCTCTCCCTCCCTAAAATTATTCTTCCTCTGCTTTCGTGTACGTGTGTGTGTGTGTGTGTGTGTGTGTGTGTGTGTGTGTGTGTGAAGACTGAAGCCAGGAGCCACGAAAGATTTGGCTGCCTTGGGATGGACCATGACCTGTGGTTCCCTCACCTCATCCTCTCTGCTGCTCCACAGAGTGGCTACGTTTCACTTACTGTGTCTAAAATGCATGCAAACTCCTGCCCAAATTCACCCAGATAAAGCCTCCTAGGATCTAGCTGCAACAGAGTTCTAGAAGTACAGCCTGGCGTCCCTGGCTATCATGAACCAGCTGTGAAACTGTGAGACCATTTCTTACTTCTGGGCTCTTCCATTCCTAGGGTTGTATCTAATAACTCTGATGTTATGTTTAAGAAGCAGATGTTACTAGAAGTAGAGAAAGGTGAAACCATGTCTCAGAGACTGAAGGGGCATCTGTTTCAATATCAATCACACAGCCAGTTTCTCCTGGAGAAAATGGTCTTGTCTCAAGAGCTATTGAGCTCCACATTCAGCACCTTAGAAAATATGTTCAGTTTTTAGACAACTGGCCAGGCATATTCTTCAGCAAAGAGAGAGAATAAAATCAGTAAAACTAGGTCTTTAAAGAATGCCCAGGACATAACAAGATACAGAACAAAGGTAAGAGAGGAGCAGATTAAGAATCCACTAGGAGTCTCCAAATGAAAGCTTACTTATGCACAGTAATGAGTAGGATATGGCGGAGATAAACTAAAAACAGTGATGGTGACATCCTTGGTCGGGCCCCTGCACCATTCTGATACCCTCACAGCAGACAGCACAGACTTGAGGAGAGAGAGAGAGTGTGTCCTCAAGCTGTAGTTCTCCACAGCCAACCATAAGAGACTTGAGTGACAAAGACCCAGTGAACCCCAAGTGAGAGATGATCTGCACCTCGGAAGCCAGCATCTTCCTGGCTGTGGCCCGGCCTTTGCTCAGCAGTCGCTTGGGGGCACCACTAAAGGCCAGCCTAGAACAGAAATGACTGGAAAGGAGGCCTGACAAAGCGGCAGGTGACTTCCTGTGGAAGGGGGCCACTCCTAAACTGTGCTCCTGAGGTTTAGGTACAGGCTTCCTGAGCAATTACACCACAGTGGCACCTGAGGCACAAAAGTAAGTGGCACTGTCTTCAAGAGTCACTGGAGAGATCACCAGGTGGAAGGTTCGATAAACCTTGCTGTGTTTCACAGAAAATCGACCTTGAGCAAAATCTGAGTCGTAGAATCTTGTATCATCCCTATAAAGAATGAACTGCAAGGTCAGGTCTTGCCTCTTGCGATACCAAAATAAATCCGGATTTCGATTATACCCGTCATAAGTGCAAAGCAATGTTACTGCACTTCCACTTGCCACTGTCCTGTTGGGGGAGCTCTGGATCAGTGTGATACACAGCACGTCCTTGTCTGTGAAGAGGAAATGAGACAATAGTAGCTTTTGCATTTTCAGACCCTGGCCAGCTCAGAGGAACTCAATGGAGAACAGGAATGGAAGTCACAGGCAGAGAATGACTAGACACTAAGCATGTAAGAAAAAGAGAGGCAGAGCCAGGCGGTTCTCTGTGAGTTTGAGCCCAGCCTGGGCTACAGAGTGAGTTCCAGGAAAGGTGCAAAGCTACACAAAGAAACCCTGTCTCGAAAAAGAAAGAGAGAGAGAGAGAGAGAGAGAGAGAGAGAGAGAGAGAGAGAGAGAGAGAAAGAAAGAAAGAAAGAAAGAAAGAAAGAAAGAAAGAAAGAAAGAAAGAAAGAAAGAAAGAAAGAAAGAAAGAAAAAGGGACCAAGCCTCCGAAGGTCAGAGAAAGAGAAACTGGGTGCAGAGCAAAGGAAATAAGCCTCTTACAGGTGAGCCAAAGGCTGAGAGTCAAGCCAAGAATCATCCTTTAGGGCAGTGCAGGAGGCAGAGCATGGAGGAGGGCCGCTGGGGTCTCTTCAGTCCTCACAGGACTTTAAACAGGAAGGAGACAGGAGGGCAATGAGGGGAGGCAGGCAGCCACTCACATGACTGTCAAGTGACTGGATCAGCTGAAACTGTGAGGTAAGGGCCTCTGACAAGGAACTGTCGTGGTTTACAAACCATCTACAACTGATACTTCTGACAATGAAAATGAATTGCTTAAAAATAAATAAATAAGAAAGAAAGGAAGGAAGGAAGGAAGGAAGGAAGGAAGGAAGGAAGGAAGGAAGGAAGGAAGGAAGGAAGAAAGAAAGGAAGAAAGAAAGGAAGAAAGAAAGGAAGAAAGAAAGGAAGAAAGAAAGGAAGAAAGAAAGGAAGAAAGAAAGGAAGAAAG